GAGGGGGGGCCAGGACTTAAAGGTTCCTGGTTTGCACAAGCAGAGCCACTGCTGGAGGGCTGGAGGGTGGACAGCATGACTGAGTCTCAGGCATTTGACAGAGGTAACTTTGAGAGTCTTAAATGGGGCACTGAAGAGGGGGCCGGATACAGCACAAGTGGCACTGGTATCCTCGGTGACAAGGCCATGGAGGATGACAGTAGCAGGACAGAGAAGGGGAGAACAGTCCTGGAGGAGCCAGTGGAGGGGCCAGAAGAGGGGCACAGGCTGGGGTAGTGTGGTGGTAGTGTAGGAAGCCATCAGAGCTGCTGAGAGCACTTTGGTGGCACAAGGCAGTGGATCCCAAAACAGAGTCGGGGGTGCAGTGATGGGAGGGGAGGCAGGGAGACAAACCTTCCAGTGTCGCCACAGCAGGCAGGGGAAGGAGCTGAACTGCTGGGGTGGGGTCAGCACACCCTCCCACCATCACAGAGGTGGAGGTGGGCTTCACAGGACAGACTTCAGCTCCTTCACCACTTCGAGGTGACAAGTCTACACAGGTCGCCCCTATAGGGACTGTTGGTTTTGTGTCCCTTTGGACCTTAAGAGCACTGGCATGACCAGGGCCTTGGATGGTTTCTACTCCATTCCTAATCTCATTCTCTCTGTAAATTCATCCCATAATAGTCAAATAACTGTTACCACCAGCCCCACTCTATATACAGTCCCCACCTGCCTGGAACAGGCTTCAACTTTGATTCAAGAATCTCTTCTACAACGCTTTTTCCATCTTCTACCACCCACAGATGGGACTGACACCTCCCCCGAGAGACCTCATCATGGTGCCCACCCACTCTGCTGAGCTCGCCGTGCTGTGTGCAGGGGGCTGCAAACCCTAACGCCACAGCCCACTGCAGGTCAAGGAACTGGTGGCCACATGGCCAGACGCTCTGCTTTTTCAGTAGAAGCCAAAAAGTCTTGATTTTATAACAGGAAATCTCCTGATTTTAAAAACTTAAAAACTACCAGGGGGGGCCAATAAAAGGTCCATTGTCAGGCAGGATTCCCAAAGGGATGCTAGTTTGTGACACCTGTAACCCTCTACAAAGAAAGAGGGCTCTAAGGGATGGGGAGCGGCAGCATAGGATTCCGGGTTTGTGCAGGAAATTTAATCACATCCTGTCATGTAATGCTCACAACCATTCACCCATTTTCCAGCCAGGAATGTGACTCTCCAAGAGCTGGAGCAACTTACCTGGGGACACACAGCTGGCAAATCACAGAGTTCATTCTCTTTCTTCCTGTGTCGCACAGGGCCTAATTGCATGAATACAGGCGGGGGACTAGATCCTTGACTCCAGCAAGTGGCCTGAGATCATCTCCACTTCCTCCCCACTATGATGACTTGTCATTAACAATCCCATATGACTGAGCCCCATGGCTCCAGGAGCTGGGACATGGCTCCTGCTCTCATGGCACACACAGGGAAGGAGGTGACATGGACCGGGAGTAAAGAAACCAACAAGCAATGTCAGAGTTGCCCTTGAAGCAGAGAGGTGCAGGGGCCCACGGAGCAGGAGGCCACTGGTGAAAAAGCAGAGCTGCCTCCCTCCCGAGCATCCCGGGGCCCCCCCACCGCTGCTGTGTGCAGAGTGCAGAGTGAGGCAGGAGGTTTGCTCAGCACTGCCAAACTCCCCCTGGAGTCCAACCCAACAGGTCTCCTTTTCTTCCATTTGCTGTTAAGCCAGATCTGAACATTAAGTATTCAAGAAAGCCGATTTGCAAATATTTACCTTCATTCATAGTTTCCACTGCCCATGGGGAGGCCCTATTAAGATGCCTTCCTTAGGGACAACAGTCCAGGTGACACTGGGATGATTTAATTCCATGTTTCTGGAACTTGGGCGCATATGGTTCTACTCAGGATCATAGGTGTGGGTACCCCTCTCCACAAAGCCAATGTGTGCATATTGGTCCTCCATGGAAGATGAAGTGCACAGGAATGTTACATGCACACTCACATACACACACACACATGCACACACCTTCTTCCAACATCACATCTCAAAAGCCCCCAAACCATTCAGAACCTACCCAGTCTGATCCCTAGACCCACAATGGGCTCTTGCATAGAAAGTTCCAACAGGATGGAGGGGGCAGGGGGATGGGGGTGGGGTGGGGAAGGACATTCACTGTCCATGGGCCCCCACAGGGCATCACCTTATCCCCAGGAGGACAGTGTGAGAGGCTGGATGGAGCAAGCTGCACAAACCTCTCTCCAGGTGGCAGGAATGGAGGCATATGGCTTGCACCTACATTCCTGGCCTCACTCACTCACCTGCCTCTCACACTGAGAGCCTCTTGGTCATGGGACCCCTTAGTACCTGCTGTGGGCCTAGGTCCACCTCCAAGTGGGTCAGAGACTAGCGGTCAGGCCCAAGGGCTGCACAGCACAGTGACTGGTGATGTGACCAATAATCAAATTCCAGTTCTGGCACTTATTAGCTGTGTGACTTTGAACAAGTCACTTCACCTCTCTGTGTCTCCATGTTGCATCTGCAACGTGGGGTGCAGTAATGCCCATACTTCCTAGAAGTGCTGCGAAATCAATGAAGTTACAGCTAAGATGTCTAGGGGAGCACCATCACAGGCTGTGCTGTAATGCCGTGATTGTGAGCAATTCCTCTAAAACATCACCTCCACCTCCATTCTCAGAGGTGGTTACCAAGTTCATACTTCACTCTGGGCCCATTAAGGGGATTAGTAGAAGGGACAGGACCTCTCTCTCTCTCTCTCTCTCTCTCTCTCTCTCTCACACACACACACACACACACACACACACTCACACACACACACAAAGCCCTCTGTGTGCCAGCCCTTGGGCTGAGCATGTCACGTGTGCAGCAACATTTGAGCCTTCCTGAGACACCAAGAGCTGTGGCCTCCCATCACACACCAGAGGAAGGAGGCCCAGAGGGGCTCAGTGCCTTGCTCCAAGTCCTAAAGTAGTGACAGGACAAAACTGAGAAACTCACTCAGAGATTTGGAGCAGGGATTTTCCTGCGCATCCTATGGTACCCTCTGTCCCCCAAGGAGTAGGAAACATGGGCAGGGGGCCATGGATCCTCTTCCCTAGTCTCAACTGTGGCCGGAGGGATGCTGGCTATGGCAGGATCCCAACCCTACAGCCGCTGCCCTGCCAACCCGTGCAGAGATCCACGCACCCCACGCTCTTTGTAGGGAAGGCACACACACACAAAAAAAAAAAAAAAAAGAAGAAGAAGAAGAAGAAGAAAATAGAACAGCCCAGCTAAGCTGAAATGCTCTCCTCAGAGGGAAGGGAAATAAAATTTGATGAACCTCTGCGCATCGTTCAAGTTCTGAATGTGCAGAGTGCTATTCTGTGCATATGTTGGCAGCACTCATCTTGGGTCCTGAGCTGCTGGCGGTGTCAGAACTGGGGCACAGCAAGCGGCAGCTGCCTGCAGTGGGGTATAGAGAGCTGAGGGCTCTCTCAGCAGAAGCAGGGACGCTTTCCCTCCAATGCCCTAGGGGGGTATTGCCTTAGCCAGTGACAACTGGCTGCTGTGTGGCAGGGCCCTGACTGACATCAGGCTGTTTGAGTGCCTGTTCCAAACACTGAGCACCCACTCTGGGCCCCAGGCATCCCTAGGCACTGACACCTTCCACATTTTGGGCCAGGTGAACTTGTGTGTCAGTGTAACCGGACCTCCCAGGCCACAGCTTCCTGGCCTGGGACTGAACTCCTGACCTACATTGGGCAAGCACATCCTCCCTTCTGGGGTGCTGTGCGAGGTGGTATGGCACCGGGTCCTCTGGATGGCCAGGTGGGAGAGCCGGAAGCAGAGCGAGAGGGAGGCAGTGCTGAGGCCTCCCATTTGAAGACCCCAGCCAATCACCAAAGAGCATCTCATGAGTCCCTTTGTGGCATCTGTCATGATTCTAGGGGCTCGGGATGCCGTGGGGAACAAGAAAACAAAGGCTTTCAATCATGGAGCTCACAGTCTACAAAGGAGCAAATGGATAAAGAAAGTAACATCAGCTGTGCCTGGTGCTAGCCACAGGAGAAGGGGTTTGGAGGGCAAATTCAGATGAGGTGAGTAGGGTGGGCCTCGGTGAACAGGTGACTGCTGAGCCAAGGCCCGAGCAAGCCGGCAAGTGAGCATTCCAGCAGGGGCACAATGAGGGCCCTGAGGTAGGGATGAGCTTGGAGTGTTCCAGGGTCACAGGGGAGGCTCACATGCAGAGTAATGACACTGCAACAATCAGAGAAGGGTCTGGAGGAGTCAGAAGGGTCTGCATCCATCCATCCACCAATCCATCCACCCATTCAACTACTATCCAGCTATTCAACCATCCATCCATCCATCCATTCATCCATCAGCCCCATCTATCCATCCATCCAGCCATCCATTCATCTACCCACCCATTCACTTATCCATCCATGCACCCAACCATCCACCCACTCACTTACCATCCAACCACTCAACTATCCATTTGCCCATCCATCCACTCACTTATCCAGTCAGCCAGGCACCATTTATTGTCACCCGCTCTGTTCCCAGTTGGCTTCTCAAGGTGATCAGAGCTTATCCTGGCCTGAGAGCCGTCCACTGGCAGCCACCACCAATCCCACCGCTGGATGCTCTCCTTCCAGCGCCATGATGGAGTCCAAGAAGGACTTAGTCTTTTAATCCCAGGTGAAGTAGTGCAGGGCTGAATAGCAAGCTCTTAAATTTGGCTCCCTCTGGGTTTCCATGGTCTGACTACATACATCTGAGACAACTTCATGCCTTACAAATGTTCATTGTTCCAGAAGTTTCAACACAGTGAGGTACAAACTCTGTCTTGCCCAGCCTGCCCTTCTGTCCCCATAGTCCCCAAGAACACCTCTGTCCAACCACTCACCCTAGGTTTTGAATGGGACCCTGTGGCTACTGAGTCCAGGCCCTAGGTTTCAGCTTTCCAGCAGTGGCCAGAGGTGACTTGTGTGCACTGACCTCTCCCGGAAGTACTTGATGGCCTCAGGGTCTATGAAGGTCGGCTCCTCCCGGTACCCCTGTTCAAAGACCTTGCGCTTGTGCCGGAATTCAATGACGGTCTTGGTGTAGGAGTTGAGTGTGGTGACAGAGGCCGCCATGCAGCACGTGAAGGAACCCCACGCCAGGCTGCCAAGAGATCAGGAGACAGATGCCACCATGAGGGCAGGCAGGGTACAGGAAGCACCTGCCCAGCAAACAGGCCTTTACCCCTGCCTCCTCTGGGCAGGACCCTGCACAGGTACTGCCACAGAGAGAGGAAGGCTGGGCCCCTACCCGCTCTTGTGAGTGATCTGGAGAAGAGAGAGCTGGACACTGTGATAGAGGATGAGCGGAGTTCATGAGGGGGTGGTGGCAAGGAGAGAACAAGTTGTTTTGTGCAAGGGACTAGCAACAGGGACCATTACCCAGGGTTCAGCGATGCCCCCACTGAGCTGGCAGGATGAGGAAGAGCTGGCCAGGTGGAACAGTGCATGAAAAACCATGGGGACATGAAGCAGCTGGGCACATCCATTGATCGTGGGATGCTGGACTGAGGAAACATGAAGTCATGGTTGGAGTTGATGAGACAGAAGAAGGGGCAGCTCTTTTGTCACAGGAGTTAAATTGAGTGACTCTGGACAAGAGGTACAGCTTTGGGTCCGTCATTACTGCCCTCACTGGGACCAGAATTCCTGCTGCTCGCTTCGCTTTGACTTAGATTGTAAACCCTCCCCAGAGAGAGAGTTGACAATGATCAGCTTGGCTGCCTGCTCTGTGCCTCTCCCTCCAGAGCTGGGATGCTGGACTGCTTCTACCTGATGTGTCCTGTCCTGGCACATCTGGAAAGAAGGGAGGGACTGAGGTAGAGCTAGGAGACTCAGAAGCCAAGTTCCAGTTCTAGAAATGACCTCCTGTCTGATTCCCCTGAGCAGACTGTGCATTCAGGTTTAGTACCAGGAGTAGGGTACCTACCTGGCTCCAATACCTCTGGCCTGCCTTCTGGGTATCTGTTCCCCAGACTCTGCCTTGATGACTGGTTTCCTCCTATCACTGACTCTGTTTTGTGGGCCAGGCATAGTGGTGAGATCAGGAGGATCGTGGTTTGAGGCCAACCCAAAGGGCAAAAAGTTATCAAGACTTCTCCTCAACAAACAAGTTGGACATAGTGGTTCACCCCTGTAATCCCAGTTACATAAGAGGCATCGGTGGGAAGATTGTGGCCCATGGCCAATCCTGAACAAAAACGTGAGACTATCCAAAAAACAACTAAAGCAAAATGGACAGGAGGCATGGCTCAATTAGTAAGGTGCCTACCTACCAAAAGAGAGGCTCTGAGTTCAAGCCCCAGTATCACTAAAAAAGGAGGAGGGCTTTGTTTTGCTTTCCAGGCCTGCACTGCTGTCAGTCACCAGTGGGTCTCTGAATACACCACTTCTGTGCCCCCACAGTCAGGCAGCCCTCGTCCTGACAACAGCTCCAGAGCGCCCCAGACATTAGCAGAGAAAACCTAAGGAGCTGGCTTTTCTCAAGATCTTCAATGATCATCTATTGCCATTCCAGAAACTTCCTTGAGAAGAAGCTAATTTAGACCTTCCAGAAGCCCCAAGTATCTATAATAGACAATTTGGGGGTGTCAGCCTGGCTCTTCTAAGAACTTCCCTGACCACTAAAAGGGTCCCAGCTCCCTGATCACAGGTGACTGGACAAGGCTGGACATGTGGCCAATGCTGGTCCAATCAGATACTTTCTCCTGAGCTCAGCCTGGGACATCTTTTCTCCTATGATGGAAACACAGAACTTGAGGATGGGGAGTGACGGAGGAAGCACTGGCCAGCACCTCCATTCCCTAAGGGTCACTCCTTCTCCTCTCCCTTCATGTGATTTGTGTGGAGCTGGCCCCGCCCCCAGCCTCTAGGGGTGGGCACATGACCTAGATCTGTCCAATGAGAGTGCAGCTTCTGCCAGGTATCCCGGATGGGCCTGTGACCTGGGCAGGCTCAGGAGACTCAACCTCAGGACTTTGACTGAAGCTATAGGCAAGCAGAGCTCATCTCTCCTCTGAGGGGATGGACTAACCTGGCTACCAGTCCAACTAAAGTTCTTAGATAATTATTTTCTACAAATTCCCTTCTTTTGTTTGAGTTATTTGTGATGTGAATTTCTGGTCTTTATAGCCAGAAATCTCACCTGGATCAAGTCTGACTCCCAACCCCCATGGCCCAGCCAGGGGATGGAGCAGAGAGGTCGCAGGTGCTCACGCTAAGATCTGGGCAAGGTAAAAAGCTCTGCAGGAGGGGAGAAAGGTCCTTGCTTCTAGGCAAGTGCTCCCATTGGGTCAGCACCCAGAGGGAGTGGTTCTTAGCAGAATGGGCGCCGTTTCCAGGACGCTGGTCAGGTAAAGGTAACACACACAGAATCCCTGGATGAGCCTGCTCCACTGTTCTGCATCCTCGAGTTCTTTAATTCCATCACACAACACAAACAGGCATCCCGTTCAGAACTAGAGCCTTTGGCTCCACTGGTCAGAACAGAGATCCTGACTGGACCAGCTTGGGTGTGTGGCGCAGCAGCCCTCTTGGGGAGGATGTGGGATGGCTAAATCTCAAGAGCCCCAGAAACAAGCGTCCTAGGGATGGAGTGGAGACAGGCATATGACCACTGGACAGGCAATAAGGCAGACTGACCGGGAAGACACACCCACACCTCTCCTTCCATCTCCTGAGCGTGGGAGACCGGCCCTGCACTTACTCCCTGGGCACTCCACAGTGCAGCCATGTGGCCCCATTCTCGACCTCAAAAACCAAAGCACATCCCCACCCCATCTCCACAGGCAGGATCCTCACACCTGCCGCTTTCCAAGCTTCTCCCAAGCTCTGTGCGCAGCTGGTGCCTCTCCTAGAATGTCACCTCTTCCATGGGCAGTCCCACCCTATCACAGGCCCATGGTGAATTGCGTCACAGCCCTTATCACACCCTGTAATTTTCTTATATCTTTTTTCTTTATTTATTCTTTGGTTTTAAATTAACTTTTAAATTTTGAGATAATTATATATGCATCCATAGAAAGAGAGAGAGAGAGAGAGAGAGAGAGAGAGAGAGATCAAAACCGGGATATTGACCTTGATACAGGGAAAATACAGATGAGAGGTCCTTCCTATTGCCATGTGACAGCCATACCCACTTCCCTCCTGACTTCTTCCAATCCCTGACAATCACTAGTCACTCAGTTCTAGAAATTGCCCACTTCAAGAATTTGATATAAATGGAATCATCAATGTGTGTGTTTGGGACTGTCTTTTTTTCAGTCACCCTGATTCTCTGGAAACTCGTCAAGTTGCTGGGTATATCAGCTATTTGTGTCTTTATGTTGCTGGACAGCAGTCCTGCCGGCAGGGTTGGAGTTTCTCCACATCCTCACCAGCATATTCTTATGTCATTTTTTTTTTTTACTTTTAGCTCTTGTGATAGATGTGTAGCAACATCTCATTGTGGCTTTAATTTGCATATCCCTAATGACTAATGATGTTGAACAACTTTTTACTTATTTGTTATCTATTTGCCTTCTTTGGCAAAATTTCTGTTCACATGCTTTGCCCACTTTCTAATTGGATGGTTGTGTTGTTCTTGTTTACTGTTAGGTTTTGCGAGCTCTTTATATACATTAGATATTAGTCCTTTGTCAGGTATGTTGTTTGCAAATATTTTCTTCCAGTAGCTTGGCTTTTAAACTTCTTAATAGTCTGTTTCACAGACCAAAAATATTTAATTTTGACAAAATTCAATTGTTCAATTTTTCCTTTTATGTTTTTGATGTCAATTCTAAGAATTCCTTGTCTAGCCCTAGATCCCCCAATCTTTTCTCCTATATTTTTCCACAAGTTTTATAATTTTACATATAAGTCTATAGTCCATTTTTAATTAATTTTTGTAAAAGGTACAGAGTTTAGATCAAGGTTGATATTTTTGTCTATGAATGTCCAATAGATCCAGCACTGTTGGTTAAAAAGGCCACCTCCTCTCCACTGAATTGAATGGCATAGTCATAAAAAAACTAGTTGGACATATTTGTATGGATCTATTTCTGGGTTCTTAGTTCTGTTCCATTGACCTGTCCATCTATCCCTTCCTGAATGTCACAGTCTGGATTACTGTGACATATAATAAATAGGTCTAGAAATGGGTAGACCAGTTCATCTCATTTTATTCTTTTCCAAAATTGTTTTAGCTATTCTAATTCCTTTGATTTTCCATATAGGTTTTTAAATAATCTTCTCTATAGCTCTAAAAAAAATCTTGCTGAAATTCCAATAGGAATTATATTAAACCTGTGTTCCAACTTCACCACTTTGAGTGTTTGATCCATGAATATGGTTTATCTTGTCACTTATTAAGATCATTGATTCCTTTCATCAGTATTTATGATTTTCAGCATGCAAGTCCTATAAATATAAAATATTTTAAGGCTAAGTATTTCACATTTTTAGTATAAATGGCATTGCATTTTAAATTTTGTCCAAATGTTCATTGCTAGCTGATGGAAATACAATTGATTTTGAGCTTCATCTTATAGCCTAAGACCAGGCTGAATTCCTTTATTCGGTCTGAACATTTTGGCAGATATCTTGGATTTTTCTACGTGGACAACCATGACATCTCCTAATGGGTAGAGTGTATTTCTTCCTTTCCAATCTGTATGACTTTATTTCCTTTTCATGCCTTCTTGTACTGTGTAGAGCTTACAGTACTATGTTGTTCCCAGCGTTAGAGAATATCCAGTCTCCCAATGTCAAGGAGAGTATTGTCTACAGGTGATTTGGAGATGCTCTTCATCTCCAGTTTGGGCATCCCCTCCTTCTCCTAATTTCCTAATGTGTTTTTGTTACCAAGAGGGATGCTAAGCTGTACTGAGTGCTTTTTCTGCAGTGATTGCTATGATCGTGTGATTTTCCTTCTTTACCTTGTTAATGTGGTGGATGACAGTGAGTGCCTTTCAAATATTGAATGAGCCTTCATCCTTGGAATAAACTCCACTTGTCATAGTATATAACTCTTCTTATATATCACTGATTTCTATTTGCTATTATTTTGTTAGGAATTTTTCCATCTATATTTATGAAAGTGATTAGACTGTGGTTCCTTTTTTGCAC